AGAAGCTAGCGAATAGAATTTTTTCTCTCTTCTTTATTTCACTTTTTCTTTTTTTTTTTTTTTAATCGCGATAAACAAACGATAGTCGCGTAAACCTAGAACACTTAATATTCAGGTACTAATCACTTTATCGTTCGGTGACTCGATTGCTGTATCAAAGTCTTCGAGATGAGTTTCTTTTTAATTTATTAAGAGCTAGTAGGAATAAAATGTTCGAATCTTTGTCTGGTGTCTATGAGATTGGCATAGTAATTTCGTTCAATTTTTTTTTTGAAATTTTATTAATTAAATTTTTTTTTTTAATTTTTTTTATGATGATTGGATGAATTTAGACTAAAATTATGAAATATTGCAAAAATCTATTTTTTTACTTTTTGGGAGACAAATTAAATATTTTTAACATTAAAATTGTAATCAAAATTTAATATTTTTCTAAAATTTTTAAAATTTTCAAAATTAATTACGCGAAAAGAAAAAAATAATATTTAAAAGTAAATCAGTATTTAATAATTAAATCTAGCTTTTTTATTATAAATATTAGTATTATTTTAATCTTTCCACATATTTAATTTTTAAATTAAATTAATTTTCATAAAATTCCAATGAACATGAAAGCAGCACCAGTCAAAGATTGTAATATTGACTTAACGTATCTTGATTTTTCATCAATGGATTCTTACACAAAGATTCCATTTTTAATAGCAAATAATTTATATTAGAATTTGAATGAAAAGTTTAATTAGCTACGGATAGAATATTTGTTTGCAGGCTGTACAATTTTTTTTTAAGCATTTCTCTTTAAAGTCTATTTCCTCTTCTATCCTTTTTCTTTTCTTATTTTATAAATTTGAAAGGAAACAACGATCGCTCCTCTAACAAGGACAATAATTGAGCTTTTGGATATATTATACATGAATAGAAGATTCGCCGATATATTCGATCACGAGCGTGCCCTTTTGATTTTTCTTCGTTATATCGTTATTATCGTTATGCGTACATTTAATTGTTCCTAAATTGTACTTACTTTCCAGGTTTCTACGTAATATATTATTAAAACGTAAGTAAAGTTTCTAAATGATTTTGTGTCACGATCATGGAGACCAGCTCCATTTTCTATATGTATATCTTTCTCTCTAGAAACTCGATTATATCATACGGTATATGTCGATTCTTCATTTCCTCGTCTCTTTTCTTTTCTTTTTTTTTCTTGCTTTTTCTGTTCTTGTTCTCTTTTTTTTATAATCCTAAATGTTATTTTCTGAACACACACGAGAGAGAAGTATCGATCCATTTACGGTTGAATACTTTTTAAACGAACATAGAAAGGTATTTTTACATGTATATTTGAATAGTTTCTTTAAATAAATATTTTAAATGAAAATATTTGAAAGAGTTAACATCTTAGTTTTAATATAAAATATATTTTAAAAAAAAAAAGAAGAAACTTTTGATACTATATAATTTTTTTAAAAAATTTAGAAAAATTAAAAGTTATTAAAAAATAAAATAAAATATATGTATAGATATATACCTCTCTCGTAACATTGTAACTAAGAAATCATTAACACGGATAATATTTCCCTAAGTTACTTTGATACTGCAATTATACATCAGATAGACTATATAAATTTCATTTATATACGTTTTAACACCATCTTTTCATTTCACTTTTTACCATCAACAGATGAGAGGCATAAAACTTCTTCATGGTGCATTTTAACATTTTAATATTTGTTTTTCTGAACACTCATTATCTTTTCTTTTCACTCGAATTTGATTTTTATCAGTCAATTTGATTAATTCTTGTTTTCGAATCAACAAGATTATCTCCTCCAAGAAATCCAACATATTTT